AGCTTTTGGGCGAGTGCAGTTTGAAAGAGTGTAAAATCGTCAGTGGCCCAAGCCGGCTTCATACGATTACTCATTTCTTATATGAAGAAAAAAATTGTAAACGCGCCTGTATTTTACAATACGAACTGCAGTGCAAGTTAAAAATTAACGATAGACTTGCCTGCCCTCAGCCAACCACAGTGAAGGAATTTTCTCAGTTATGTATATAATCAATAAATTACAACATTTAGAGAGGAAGCCACATCAGCCTTACCTAGTTTTCATTCGGGTCCTCTATCCCTGTCGAAGTGGAATTTGGAAATGATGGTTTTTCAGGAGGGAGGAAAACCGGAGCACCCGGAGAAAAACCCCTCGGAGCAAGGCGACAACCAACAACAAACTCAACCCACATGGCATCTGGACAGAATCGAACCCGAGCTACATTGATGGGAGGAGAGCTCCCCATGCAATACATGTCAATAATCTTATTTCACTGCCTGTTTATCTGTGCATATGGCATTTCAAGATATGTAACAATATCAATGGTAACTTTACCTGTCAGTATGGCGTGCACAAAAGTTGGTTGAAACTTTCTAGCCAATTTTGCATCCCTCAAAGCATCATCATAATTACCTGTGACAAAATACGTGTTTTATTGAACTTAGGATAAGAAAGGATCACACTAGCATCTAAACATTAAGTTACAACTCTACGATGCTATTTCTAGTTCAGACAGATAGCGAGTGAGTTGCCTTGTTGGAAATGCTCTAGAAGAGCAGGTTGTTTAAGTTGTTTCCGTTGGTTTTGGTTTTTTGCCTTGCACAGGACCAGAGATCGTCGACTATGGAGTCGTCATCTTGCTTACAATGAGAGCCACCTATTTTTTTGCAGCATTTCAAACTTGCCGTGTACTTATTACTACTTTTTTCAAAAGTAGCACACGTATAGTTTCTACATAAGTTCTTCCGACATCAGTCTTCCTTTAAAATATTTGTTTCTTGTACACAGCTCCACAGGCTCGGCTGCAATTCAAGCTTCCTTAAGAACAAACTGTGTATCAAAGTAGTTGGTCTTAAAAGTACTGAATTGTTCTTGAAATCACTTGGGTTCAGAAGTAACTAACTATGGTTATACAATGTTCAGATCATACTGAAGTGCCTGGTAATTTGCACTCCGTCTAATCAAAGAAGAGAATTTTCTCGACACTTTTAAAACAAAAACAATGTTAGACCTAAAGATTGTAGAGAACGGGCACAATAACGAGCGGATTTATCTCTTTGGTTGATTTTGGTTCTTTCGTTGCCGATTACCTGTTACTGGCTACCTCAGAATCAGATGACAACTGAAATTCTCACCCACTAAGGATTGCACAGTTGCCCTGTTTGTATATAACAGGGCATTTAAACGGTCGTCTTTGCACTTGACTTCAATTCCTTCAGTGTAGCAATCGATGGCCCTGTCAAATTCGTTTTTCCGCAGTTCTTCGTCACCATCTTTGTTGTGCCCGTCTGCTATTCCTTGAATACAAATAAGATTGGAACGTTTTGTCAAATGGCAGTCTAAGGGATCTTAATTCCTTGAGATTATGAAAAATGAGTGGCTCGTCTGGTAATCGCCTGGGTGAGGTAGGTAAGGTTAAGTCTGCATACGAGCCAAGTGGCCCATCAGGCTGGAGCTTATCCGAGTTTCTGTAGCATGAAGAGACTAGGAGTATTTCTACTCCCCCCTGGATGGGATGCTAATCCATCGCAAGGTTACCCCCAGCATTAAGTTCGCCGGTACCCATTTGTACACTGACTGTGAGAGTAACGTGCCTTGCCTAAGAACAAAATACTTATGTCTCTCCTGGCCGGGGCTCAAACCCGGACCGCTCGATCCGGAGAAGAGCGCACTAACCATGAGACCACCGCGCCTCACACCCGGGTGAGGGCAGTTCTTAAAAAGACTGTTTCTGGTCACTGACGTTTGGACAACCTGAGTGGAAGTCATCTTCGGCACAGTCAACTGAAGATGTCAACGTTTTGTCAGAAGATTGTACTTATAAGTTTCGTCCATTGAAACTGATTGGTCAGCTTAGGCGTGAAGGCATTGATTGTAGGACTTGTGTAAAGAACATTAACTATTATATTTAAACTCCTCCACTCACCTCTCAACAAAGTATCATCATCAATTTCAAGGTCTTGATGAGCTTGGATTTTCAGCGACTTGGACTTTAAATCTCGCAATTTTTTGCTTTTATTATCTATCTGTCACAGTTAAGCTACGATATTTTACCATTTACCATTCTGATAAACCACGAGTGGCAATTTGTAGCAACTTATTCTCTCGATTTAAATAAAGGAGAAGGCGTCAACACGTTATTTGTTGAAGATCAGACGTTTATTTCAAACAGGGATTTGATTCAGGGCCCTGCGTTTACTCGGAAAAGTCATGTGAATTTAAATTTCCCTTGAAGAATATATACCATTTTGGGGAAATGATTCATGTAAGTTTTGTCCTTGTAAAGGGGGATAATCTTACGAATAAGTTCGCCTAATTAAACAACAAAGTTTTGCAATAAAGAAAATTGTTCTCGTCACGACGTCGCAATGGCTCAAAATGTTTCTCAAGGAAGTATATCTCAATTGATCTATTATTGACGATTAGCTATTGACCGCTTGTTTACAGTTTCTTCCACCATTCAGTTGAGATCATCAAAATTACTGTGACTTAAAACTGAAAAGCCGAGAAAATTCGTAAAAAAAGTCCCTAAAAGTTTGAACAACCAAAGTCGAACAAAGTTTGTTGTTCTTCCACTCAGTCAGATGTGAAAGCGGAGTACATTTGGTCCTTCAAGCTCTTCTGACCGAGTGTCCAAATCAGAGACGAACAAGTCAGTTACGGAACCCATTGGGTCATTGCATTAAAATGTCAAAGGATATTGCCAATCCTTCGTCGCACCACTTGATGACCTCCTTGTATAAGCCTTGCTCCATACAGGTACTTGCACCTAATTGTAAGAGAACAGTTTTTACTGTATTGTAAAATTTGCAACATACAGAAAACGCCTATACACTACATACATTCTGTTGGCTAAGTGTCACTCAAATGCATTATTTAAGACTAAAATGGAGCAGAATAGTAATATTTCCTTTCACTAAATTTGTGCCATTTTAGGGGTTGGATCAAGGAGTCAGTTAGATTCATCAGAAGATCTAGAGGGGGTGACTAGATGTAGGCAATGGCTAATTCCCTGTATGAGAAGCGCCTGCAGGGAATCATGGCAGTTGTATTCATCAAAACAAATATCCAGTCCAAGATGATGAATACAACTACCATGATTCCCTGCAGCCGCATCGCATAGAGAAAATTTAATTTAGTCTATTTAAAAGTTACAAAACCTAAGAATAATTTAAAAATCAGTTTTTTTACAAGTCTTATAGAAATATTTAACAATTAACAAAAACCTAGCTAATACATAATTATTGCATATATTGATTGCGGACCCATTGCCGCTTCGGCATCCATCATCCATTAAGGCCTAAATAAAACAAAATAAAAGACTTTATTTAACCTGAAAGGCCAATCAGTGATCACTGGATCACTGGTATTAACTGGCGATCAGCAAACGGTGAATGTTTGACTGTCCAAACGGTGAATGTTTGGCGACCAAACATCATCAAGCATTGTTTGGTGGCTAAACATGCTGATGTGGAAGTGAGTGGCCAGACGGTTTAAACATGTTTGATCAAACATAGATCAAACTATGGATACAAGCCGCTGAGTAAGCGTGGGACGCATGCGCGATCCAAACATGTTTGGTACGGCTGTCCAAACGCACAAAACATCGCCCATCAAACACGAGAACAAAAGAAATGTTTAAAGTTGTTTGATCGAATGTTTGATGGCCTTCAAATTTTTTCAAACACGACCAAACACGATCAAACAGCACCAAACAAGGTGGCCAAACGGTAAAATGTTTGGTCACCAAACAATATTTGATGGTGTTTGGTCGCCAAACATTTCCCGTTTGGACAGGCCTTTAGAGTTTCCAGGTTCATCTTACGTATGTTCGTTTGCAAAGACTACTGGTAGTCGTAATAAAAATCGCGGGAAATATAAAACTTGATCACAGTGGCCGCATAATTAAAAGAAAGTAATTAATTTTTCACAGACTTCTGAAGCAAAGTCTACATACGTTGTATTCTGTCTTTGCTAGGAAATGTCAACAATTCAGAAAATTATTTCGGTTTTGTCGTTGACGACATTAGCTTTATTTTTGGGAGAAAATCCCAGTTGTGTTAATAATCTGTGATGTTCTAACCTTTTAATTGGTCGTCATCGCATTCTAGACACTCAACATTATCAACTGTCGAAGGAGCAGGAGAATCGTCATCTGTTTCACCAAAAGCTTCGCCCAGTGTCCTCACCGCTTCAGTTACTCCCTGCCATTATAGGACAATGATTTTCTGTTAGTTAAGGTCCGGTAATACCGGCAACATTTTCCTTCA